TTATTTCTGATGGGTGGAAGAAGGCTGGGGGGGAGGTTTACAAGAGGCGGAAACTTAAGGTCTTTATGGGAAATAGAAACTTACCTAACCTAAAGGGATGGGGGATGCGGCGCATACAGAACAAGAAAGAGGCGCATAGGTTAGAGCTAGGCTACAACACTCTGAGGGCCTAGCCCTGTTTGACTGCTTATAATATTTCTAACTAGCTCAGCTGCCTGTAACAGTAATACCAAGTAATATTTAGCTTCCAGGAACCAATTTTAAAAGCTTGCTTTGGGGGCTGGGGATTTAGCTCAGTGGCTTAAGTGCCTGCCTGGCAAGCATGAGGTCATGAGTTTGATCACTGCCATAAAAAAAAAGAAAAGAAATTAAATAAAAATAAATAAATAAATAAATAAAAGCTTGCTTTGTGCAACTGTTGACATCTGTCAGTACAAGGATTTAATTTGGGCCCTGGATGCTGGAGCTTTGGCTAATAGCAGTTACCTGAGGTAATTCTAGCTTAATTTTGGAAGTGCGACAATGGCAGTAAAATATGTAGCTCATATATCAAAATGACACTCAGCAAAAGAGCTCAACATATGGTAGAGCCATAAGAACATGGCAACTGCACTTTCTGTTTTCCATAATCATCCTTTGTTGTAAGTATTTTTGTTATTTACAATGCAAATTACTTTTCAGAAACAAATTCCATTACAGGGAGTATCCATGTAACAAAAATGTGTTCAACTACAGAAGTTTGGGGGCCCAGGATTTAGCTCAGCAGCATAAGCGCCTGCCTTGCAAGCACATAAGTCATGAGTTTGATCCCGAGACAAAAAAAAAAAAAAAAACAGAACTTTGATCCCCAAAGCCTCCATTTGAATTCCTGAGTTTTCAGAACGATGAAAGAAAGAATATAAAGTAAAAGTAGCCTTTATTCCTAGGAGGTGGAGAGAAGTCTATGACCACTGGTAGCTTTCTCTGGCTGAGGGCAGGCATTGATGAGGTTCGAGGAGCTGATTGGAATTTTCTTCGAGCACAAACAGGAAGGGGAGTTGCAGTTAAGGCTGAGGAAGCAGCAGGAAGTAGTAAGCTTCCCACTTTGGCCTTCTGCCACGTTAGACCACTGCCATAATGGGACAGTAATTTACTCTAGGGCAAGAACCTTTCAGTTCCCTAACGGGTATTTTTTTAAATACTGTGATCTTGATGCCAAAAAAATATCAACAGTGTACAAGTACAATTGTTTTAATGATACTTCTAAATTAATTTATCTTTTTGAGAATGGAATGTCATTTCTCTAATAGCCTACTCAACTTTCTTTTCTATGCTTCGTGTAAGCTTAATTATTACATTTTTGTAGTCGTGAAAAACTGAGCAATCGTATAGGAGAAACAAAAGTCCTTGGCTCCTCACCAAAGAAAGGTATAGCTTTTGTTTGTTTGTTTGTTTGTTTGTTTGTACGAGAGGCCAAACTCACAACCTTGCACTTGCCAGGCAGGTGCTTTGCTGCTGAGCTAAATACCCAGCCCAAAAGTACATCTTCTAAAATAGAAGTGAAAAGCACATCGTCAGTTCTCATAATGTGTAGCATTTTATAACCATTAAAAATTTTATTTTAAATTAAATTATATTTTAAAAACACTGCTATATGGGAAATAAATTTTAGTATTATTACAAGTCAACAGCTTTCTAAGTCTTAGTGATTATTCCATATTAAAGACAGTGAAACAGCCCTCGCTACCTTTTGAGACAGGGTCTCGGTACGTAGTTCAGTCTGGGCTTGAACTCACTATGTAACACAGGCTGGCCTGGAACTCACAGCAATCTTCCTGCCTCAATCTCCTGAGTGCTAGAATTATAGGCATGAGCCACCACACCCAGCTGTTACCATATTTTAAGAAAATGAGTCACAATCTCATTGAACTAGAGATTTCAGTATATCCCAGTTTCCTTGTATCAGAAAATAATTACCATCTACATCTGGATAGAGAAAGAGCAGTACAGATGAAGAATGTTTCCTGTTCTTTCTCTGGAAGTCTTTTGTTTTCAAACAAAAAAAGTGCCCCTTAGAGCCGGCATCGTGGCACAAACCTGTCACTTAAACTGAGGCAGGAGAATGACAAGTTTGAGTCTGCCCTAGGGACACAGATCTGCAGTACAGCTCCCTGGGTTCTGTCTCCAGTACTGAAAAACAAATGGCTCAGAGGCGGGTTGTGGGCTTACTGTCCCAGGAGAGACAGGGTGACACTCCTGTCATCAGGGAGGCTAGGATGGAGTTTTCAATGGCTAATTATTGTTCTTAAAACCAGATTTTGTAAAGGGAGGATGAGTAACCCTATTCTGGATCAGCTGCATCAGTTAACATATCAGGAACCAATACACACACAGAACTGTTGGGAGGAAATGCCAGCATTCTGGATCCAGGGCAGCCAGGGGCACTCTGGAGTCCAGGAGAGAGGGCAGTGTTGGGTGAGCCGAGGGGAGAGCTTAGCCCTGGATGGCTCCGGCCCTACAACTCGCATGTGGTTTCCTGGAAGAAAACTTCCCAGCAATGTGTCCTGGGACAGCCTGGAATGGCTAAGGCCAGGCCGAGAGCCAGCTTTGCTGGGTGACTGTGAGTGACGGGCCATTCAGTGTGGCGGGGACCCAGAAGTGCCTGTGTTCCCTGGGATGAGAGAAAAGCAGCCAAGACTCTACCTGGGAACCTTGCCAGAGTGAGTCACCAAGCCCACAGCAAAAATAACCCTGTGGCCGAGGGCACCAGCAAGGAGCACATAAGCCAGGGGATGAGCAGGATCAAGGCCGAAATGCAAGGGCTCTACTAGGTGCCTGGAAAAGGAAGGGACAAGGAGGGCTGGGGATGTAGCTCAGAGGCAAAGAGTGAGCCAGAGGGCAGGACACGAGCCCTCTGCACTCCCAACAGTGAGGACACTGCGGGTTCTAACCCAGCTCACACACCGCTCAGAGAAGAAAGCCCCCCGGAGAAACGTTCGAAGGAGAGAATTTCAACTGGGAAGGAACTAAGTTAGTGAGAAGCACGGTCTCTACATTATTGGGTCGGTTTGGATTTGGCCAGATGGACTAACAGGATTAACCGTGGTTTTCATACGTCCTTCACACTTTTGTGGGAAACAGGACCAGCTGTAAGAAAGAGGCCTCTTTTTTCTTTGTACTGAGTTCAGGGTGCAAACTTACAACACTTCTGAATGATTAACGAATAATCCCCAGCCCCTCTCCCTGTAAAGCTTCCTTTAACTGTTCCCAGAATAGCTAGGGCCCTTTGGAACGCTCCATTCTCCCTTTGGCAATCCTCACTTTCAGAGAATCCACTCCTCTCCTCAGCATTTTGCCAGGAGAGCGTATTCAGAAGGGGCTGGAGCAACTGGAGTTGTGGATCACTTGGGAAGTCAAAGCAGTGGTTGGTTTGCAACCAGAGGGGGAGAAATGCAGTATTTTAACAGTCAGCATAGCCAGACTGCTGTGTGTTGAGCGAATGCCAGAAGTTCCTACTTCCTTTCACATTTCCACTGTCTTAGCTTTTTGGAAGCTGCTGTTTCTCCTGCCCACCCCTTATTCTACCTTCCCCAGCTCCTTGGTGTAGCCTTGGCCTCCCTCTCACAGCGGAAGCTGTTCTGGGAGTTCTGGGAAATAAGATAAAAATCGTAGATTATCTGTAGTTTTAAACTGCAGGTACCGTAGCTGGGCATTGTGGTGTACACTGGTAATTCCAGCACTCGGGAGGCTGAGGCAAAAGAATCACTGTGAATTCAAGGTCAGTTTGTGCCAGCAGTGAGTTCAGGGCCAGTCTGAACTTCACAGTGAGACTTTGTCTCAAAAAAAAAAAAAAAAATTCAAATTTGGCCTTGAGCTCTCTGCTAGCCAAGCAAAGGAAGCAAAGCACGAGTCTCATGATTCCTGAGATCTTGTTTTGTGTTTCTTTCGCAAGAAAAATCCAACTATACCTAGTATTCTAGGCTGGGGAAAAAATCTCTCCCAAGAACCTTCAGCATCCTCAACACAAATCCTCACACACAGATCCTCTGCAGTCGAAGGACAGAAAGTCTTTGCATGGTTCTCCCACTGGCAGTGTCAAAGCATTCAACCACAGAATGGCTAACTTTAAAGGAATTTTCCACATCCTTTGGCCACATCGTTGCCTGCACTTCTCAAAACAGAACCCAGCCCTTCTTCCTTAAAGACACTGAGGCTGGGAGGTGTTCAGAATGCACCCGCTATGCGATGGGGTTCAGGCCACACTGCGTCTGTCTGTCAGTTATTCCACTCCTTGGTATTGAGTGCTGGCCCTAGTGAGAGCACAGTAAGGTCCAGAGCACATTATGATGAACTCAACAGCCAATAATGAAAATGTGTTACAGTAACAGGCATGGTGGTACATGCCTGTAATCCCAAATAATAAAAAATAAATTTAAAAATAAAAACATGACAAAGGTGCATGCCATCTTCATATTGGAAGACCAAGCGCTGTTCGCAATGCAACTTTGATTTTTTTGTATTATATTCCTACTTTGTACTTACCACTAATACCTTACTAGGAGAAAAGTACTGATGTTTTTTTCCAAGGCTACATTTGTGTCCCTAGCAAATAAAGCAGGTCACATTTTCAAAGTTCTACGTTTTCTCTTTGCTATAGATCACAGCTCGTGGCCTGTGAAGAGTTCTCACTGTCTGAAATTCAAAGAGTTGTCAATTATAGAAGATTCTTCCTTAAATAGACTGCTGTTTTTTGTTAAATTTTGCAGCTCTTTGGAAAACAGCATTTCCCCCCTACTTGCAAGAGGAACATTTCCACTTGAAGCTTGTTGGAAATTTGAGGTAGCTTAAAGTTCCATCTAACAAAAGTGTGTTACTTACTTGCATAGTATTTTGCTTTTGTGTCAACTTGAAGAGTGGTATTAAGGGAATGCCCACAAAGCATCTTAAAGGCTAAGGAAGGATTATGTTCAGGGCTAAACTCTGAGACAGGTTTATGTACCCTGCAGTGCACTTTCCTCGGGCTTAACATCTTTTAGCCTATCTGTAAAGGATATCAGAGGGCAAGTTTCTGTCATGAAATAGAACTAATCAACTTAGTTGAATTTATATTTAAGGCAAGGTTAGCCTTCATTAAGACACCTTCAGAAGCAGTGGTCAGCTGTGCTCTTCACTTGTCTCTGAGGAGCTTCTGCAGCAGAAGACAGAAGGTCTAGATGGTTCGCTCGTCGGCAGGGCCAAAACAGTCTGTATAGAAGCTGTAAGTATGCAAATCTACAAATCTGTACATTGATTAGTTCAAAAGGAAGCCTAGCTACTCATAGCACCATGTTGCACATACAAAATAAAAGAATGTTTTTTATATTACATGAAAATACTTAGGTTAATCTATAAATGTATTGGATCCCTTACTAGCAATATGACAAATTAATGAAAAGTAAAGATGATAAACCACTCCTGCCAAAGAAATACTACTTACCCTTAGGATTCAGTTTTCATTTTTTCAAGTCAAGTAAAAGAAAGTTTACTATCTTAGGTAACTCAAAATTGTATATGTGTTTAATAACTCCAAATAGACTAAGTATCTACTTCTGTTTGTTACTGTTATACTCTTATTGCAGATTAGGGAACTATGAAATATCAGAGGAGAAATTTCTGAAAAACATTGAGGAGCAATCAGTGAGAATCATGAAAAAAGTTATGTTGCTATTTCCTAACCTATTCTTTAACACTAAAATGTTTAATATGCAATTCAATTATTTAAGTACTTCTAGAGTTACATTAGTCTATGAACAAATTGATATCTAATGGACTTTGCTCCACAGTTTTTTGAAGTGAACATAATTTATACAAATCATAATAGCATGCAAATTATGTCAAGCACAAATAAAAAGAAATAAATAATTTCTACTTAATTGTGATAAATATTTTTATCACAATAATTGTGAATGTGCCAAAAATTTGACATTTCAAAAAGGCTTAGGTGTGTCTATTGACAATGAGCTTTCTGGAATGAAAAGAAGCAGGAAATAAAGATAGTCCAGCATATAACCATCTGTGTGCAGACACTCTTTCCACGGATGTGCTGAAGTGACATGCATTCAGAAAAGTGCTAAAGCCTATGTCCCTAGTAAAATGAAATAGACTTCAGTACCATTCCCCGTGGCTTCAGTGTTAACTGTCTAAATTGACAGTGCTACCTAATTCTAGAGCAATCCTTCATTTTAATTTATGCTGTGCTAGTACAACAGAGAAAATACCTATTTCCTCTGCTTTCTAAAGTGTATTAAAAAGGACATGAAGTGAAAGGGAATGAAGAAGTCAAAAGAATTAAGATGTAGTATGTACATGTGCCAACTTGCCATGGTGAAGGTAATCAGTATGTACTGCAGACATATATTAACAAAGAAGAGGAGGAAGTGCACAGTTACTGGCGTAACTCAAACCAGCAGACAATAAATCTCTGAAACTGTTCGTCCTCGGTGTAGAAGGGAAGGGAAGGAAGATACAGAAAGATCCAGAGTAGAAAGCCCACCTAGGTGTTACTCAGAGCAGTCTGGGCAGGGAGACCAGTGCAAAATGAAGTAGGAGGAACAGTTTTAGAGTTGTTGGTGTACCATCAAAGAGAAGATAAGAAAACTATGAGAAGCCAGAGCCTGAGCTATTAAAATTGTTCAAAAGAAAGTTTAACAGTGATGTCTAATGTTCAATTAACTGTTTTGACACCACCATGCCCACCCCAAACCCGCTATCAGCCCAAACCTTAACAAAATGGGTTGTGCACACATACATTGCCTATGTGTGGTTTGATGTAACTACTGATAGAAACTGACTGCATTCTGAACCTGCGTAGAGAAGAAAGAAGGGAACAGCCAAAGGAAGTTAGCCTGGGGCAGACAGAGGACCTCCCAAGAGTAGTAACTCAGAGCAGGAGTGTGCCAGCGGGCAAATCTCCTGGGAACGGGGAAAAGCCTGGCAGATCTCAGATGGGGACCGCAGGTGACCTGAGTCGCTCAGATTCATAAAGCAATGTGACTTCTCCTACTATAAATGACTGATACCATTTGGATTGTGAAGATACCTTGAATGTGTAATTTCGTCTATTTGAAAAAGTACTTAGACTAATTTTAGGATTCTCTTGTAGTCTTGTCAGGAAACATATGCATCTATAATTAGAAAGTCAAATATTTTATGCCAAGTTTCTCATGTAATCTTACCATAAACTATTTCAATTAACAAATGTATTTTGGGTGCTAATATGATCAATTTTATTTTACATATTTAAAAAAATTTCCTTACTGGATATAAAAAAAGATTTTTCACCGTGTGTGTGACACTATGGATTGAACCCAAGGCTTTCTCATTGAGTTACATTCCCAGCCCTTTTTTAACTTTGAGAAAGGACCTTACTAAGTTGCTAAATTACCCAGGCTAGATTTGAACTTGCGATCCTCCTACCTCACCCTGCCACAGTATGGGACTACAGCAGGTACCACAAGGCTCAGCTGATCGCTTCACACTTTTAACTACACTATGAGAAATTAGCATGATCACTGTTCCTCCAGCTTAACTTTTCTCCTAGAAGTATTTGATAATGGAATGTTTTTAGGCAGTTCTCTTGGTTTTCGTAGTCTTAGTTTTCTATCTATTATTTTTTAAAGGAAAATATACTTAAGTGTGAATCACATTTAGCATAAATACGCTTTTCAGAACTCACAGGACAGCTAGGATAAGGAATATTTGAAGTTACTGAGGATTCTTTCATACTTTAAATAAAGTACCTTTAATGTATCTACCTTTAAGAAATGTAAGTTCTTATTAATAAATGTAAACATTTCTTTTTCTCAAAATTGTAGAAACTAATTCTACAATCTATTTCTTAAATATAAAACTTTTCATGCTTCATACGATAAGATTTTATACACAGACAATGGCTCAAATTCAGGATTTTGGACTCAGATTGCCCTGGTTTTTATAAACGGTCACAGTACAGCATGGAAACAAATATACTCAAACTGGCACCTGGCTACTGTGCTCTCGACAAGCACTCAGTAAATATCTGCTGATTCGGCAAGGGCTTTGGTTCATGAGGTTCATGTCTTACTGCCCTAACCAGTTGAGACAGAATTAGCACTATCTAAATCGTCTATGTGCTGCCGAGAGGGGTTTGCTGAGGGTAAGAGTCTGAAGGCAGAGATTAGGGAGTCCTCATCCTCCTAATGTGCTGAGCATCCAGGATTAGAGCTCTGGGTCAGAAAAATCCACCTGAATGCAGACCTAAGCACCACTGTACCCCCTTACTTTAGGATTACCAGGCACGCTCTGCCCTCAAAACTGGCATCCTACTCTGCCCTTTAACTCAAGAGTGTCTCGTCTGCTATAGCAAAGTGACCTTCCTTCAGAGTTGGTCTGCATGTATCTAAAGATGGAAACCATACCCTGAAAATGTGAAAGTTAATGTTTAAAGACCCCTCTGCTTGATCATATAACTTTGCACCCCTGAAGTGAAGCAGTCTATGTTGGGAGTAACATAAATTCAGAGCTTGATTTATCTGGTTGATAAGAGGAAAGAGCTCTTGACCTCAGGACATTTCCCTGAAAGTGTTCTGGCTGTATTTGCTTTAAAATACAATTTAGTTCAGGGCAGTAAAACTATTCTGTGCAGTATGATAATGGTGGATAATGTTATTTTATTTTGTATCAAAACCTAGATACCTGTAGAAGAGTAGCCCTAGGATAAACTAGCACTTTGTGGGACAATGAGGTGTCCCTGTTGCCGAGGGGTATATAGCTCTTGCCTGAGATGCAAGAAGCCCTGGGTTCGATCACCAGCACCAAAACCAAACAACAAAGCCAGAAATGGTACTAAGGACAGTTTTAATGGTATGGCAAATAAGACTTGCCTCAGATGTTCCCTTTTCCATTGGCTTGGTAGTGTTAAATCCTCCACTTGCTCCACTGAGCTTGTGATTGATAGTGAAAACAGTGCATTCGGAGCCTATGCCTGGCCATCTGGTGCTTCAGAGGGAAGGCATTTGTGATTATCCAGCCGAACAACATTCCAGGAGGACCGTGCTGCCTCTCAGCAGCACACGGCACTGCTGCTCTGTCTCACATCTCGCTCACTGTCTTCTGGGTTCTGGGTCATGTACTATCTCAGGCCCTGCATGTCTCTGCAGCTCAGTCTGAAGATGTCCTTCCAAACCTCAGGAGCTTGTTGGGTGAAGTCAGGCATAATCCAGATGTGATAGAGTCATGCTGTCAACACAACCAAGGGCCATAAGAAATCAGTGGATACAAGGCCACTTTTTGTTATTTGGGACAATTCTGAGACATGAATCACAAGGTTTCTCAGAGCGTCCCAGAAAGATCTTTAAAAAAAAAATAAATCAGTGGCCAAAACTAATGTTAGGTGGTCTGTGGACTTGACTTTCCAGTTTGATCATGCATGGTTCCAGGTTTAGATCTAAGGGGGAAAAAAGAAACTAGAGTACCGATTGCAATTTAAATATGCAATTATATTTTAATGACTTCAGTATTTAAAAATTAAATACACAAGAAAGGAAAGAAGAAAAAAAGGAAAGATCACTGTAAAGAAAAGTAGAATATTTACTTGCTAATCTCCTTTTTTTCACAAAAATTATCGCTATCTCAGACTTTTTCTTTCAGTAACACCTGAAGATGCAGGAGAAGCTAAAAAGACTTTTTTTTTTTTTTTGTCTTTTTTCCTTTTTATCGGTACCGGGGATCGAACTCATGACCGCCTACTTGCAAGGCAGGTGCTTATGCCGCTGAGCTAAATCCCCAGCCCTTTAAAAAGACTTTTTGACTAGTACTTTTTAATAATTAAAATTATTCAAAAACAGTAATAATTAACAAGAAAATTATGAGGCAAATATTATGCCTTTAAAGATTATCCTTTTTTCTGTCAGCTAGGTTCTGAACGTAAATTACAAAAATACATGTTTTGTAAATTTGGATGAAATTTGGTCACTTGTACTAATTAAACAATCTCATGCAGTCAGCAAATGCCCTAGATAGATATATTTTTAGCCATTAAGAAGATTCACCTTCCTCATTTTCTGTCTTAATCTTATCAACTGTATAGGAATATTTTTCCAAAGACTGAACATCTGGGAGAAGTTATGTGTTTGCACCTCTGAGAATATAAGAATCAAAAGAAGTTGTAAGGAAGGAAATTGACATTCCTGGACTCTTGCAAGGCTGGTTTCTTTTTCCTATTGCATGTAGTGTGGAATGGTATTACCTGCAGACTACAACAAATTTGAAGGGAACATTTATGAAATAGTAAGTTCTACAGCTGTATACAAGTGCTTCCTATAGAAGATTTTCATATAATTTAAATCTTAGTGTAGCCAGTCTTCTCAAGTGTTGTAAAAATACAAAGGATCTTCATTGAGGTCAAAAAGAATTCACATAGTTCACAAAAAGCAGGGTGATTTGTCTTTGTACCTCTCTGGTCCTTTTTAGAACTCTGTCAGAGGCAAGGGAGATCCATGACAAATCCAGTGATGGCTGTGAACCCTTTACTGACTGCAGCCGGGCAGCAGAGGATCCCACTGATTCCCTCACCGTTTGGACCTCCAGTTGTGGACAGGTATCTCTCTGCCGTACAATCATCCAGTCCGAGGAGGAAATCTTGAACCCTTGTGTTGTTCTATCGGGATCTCGATGAAGAGGGAGGCTGCTCTGCTGGCCATATCTTCACGGCTTCTGCCTCTGCTTCCCCCTCTGAGGCCTGTCTGACCTGCTCACTCACCAATAGCTAGCAGGTTCTCCCAAAGAGACAGAGGTTGTGCAGGTGCAAATGGGGTGCTACCCTTCTGGGGTCGCCTCCATAAAATGCCACAGGCTGGGGAAGGCTTTCGTAACAGAAATTTATTTCTCCAATTTTGAGGAAGTCCAGGCTTGCCCTACCGCCTAGTTGACTTCTGGTGAGCCCTTTCTCCCTGCCTTGTAGCCATATATCTCCTCTTGTCTTCTACCTTCTTTTTCTGGGTGCAAATATGGAGAATTCTTGGGAGCCTCTTAAAACACAACAGCTTTATCAGATTAAGACCCTACCTTATGATCTCATTTGACCTTAATGACCTCCTTTAAAGCATTATCTCCAAATATAGTCACATTGGAGGTTAAGGTTTCAATATATGAAATTAGAGGGAGACAATGAAGCCCATAAAAATTGGGTACCCTAGATTTCCTGTCTTGGCGTAATTCTTTCTTTTTAATAAAAGTAAATTTGAAAGTGTTTTGGTTGCTTACTTTGGCAATAGTCTCTCTTTTTTTAGAATATCTTTAACATTCTGAGAAAAAAATAGAGTACATCATTTATTCTTGTTCATCTAGTAGGAACAGTAAGTAAACTTGGGCTTCTAAGGACACTGAAATTTGGCAAAATGCATAAATTGTCCCATACCCCGCCCACCAAATAGTCAGGCATTGATCTCAGATGGCAAAGTCCACCTAAGTATATCCATTAAATGAGAAAAAATTGTGCTTGGAATAGAATATTGGTCATGAAAACTCAGAAACCCATATTGATTTGACTGGATCGTTTCCCCCAGACATCCCTAAAACTTTTCTTTCCTATTTTCTGTTTTGTTGTCAGTTGGATTGTTCTTTCTTTAGTAGAGTCCTTCCACCTCGCCTTTCTCACCATAGAGACTGCTGGACTTTCATACTTCAGTCTGGAAAGAGATGAACACTATTATCTCTTTTATATGACATTTAAGAAAGACAGAACACCTGGCTGCCTAAGCAAAGGACATTTTGTACCACTGTATTCTCATTTTACTTTTCTGTATCTTTTCCCCCCTAGAGATACTTTGCCTTCTGTTGTACCAACTGATCCAAGACAGTTTTGTGTTCCTTCCCAATACGGATCATCTGTTCTACCCAACACAAATGTGCCAAACATGCTGCCCAATCCCGGCTACTCAGGTACGAGCAGGAGACATTGCCTCTTGGCGGCAGAGCCGCAGTGATTGGGAGAGCTGCGTTAAACTGGCCATGCTTTCACTGCAAGATTTTGGAGGCACACCTGTGTGGTGATCATGCTTATAGTTTCTGCAATGAAGAATTTACTGTGTGTCTTCTACACATGAAGAACAGAGGTGGTTGTAAGGAAAGGAAATCTGACGTGTCCTGGTTGGCAATGAGGCTGAGCGGTCCAACACTTGCCTACACGCATGAGGCCATGGGTTGGATCCCCATCACCACAGGAAACAAAGCGAAAACAACAAAAGCATGTGGTGTTGGGGAGCACCTGGCTCTTATTTTGAGTGAAAGGGAAGTTTTAAGGAATTTGAGAAAAGGAGTGATATGGTCTGACAGAATTTACTGGGCTCCTCCTACTGCTGAGATGGGAGTAAACCTAATGTATCAAAATCCAGGGAGTTAATGGGCTATTTGAGTAGACAAAAGATTAGAATAGTGAGGGCTTGAGTAGGAAATACTAAGAAATGGCTGGATTTTGTAATTATTTTGATATTTTGATGGTAGAAACAACAGGAGTTTCTCACAGTTTGGATATAGGAAGTAAAAAACTGGTATCAGGAATGACACCAAGCCAGGCATGGTGGTATATGCCAGTAATCCCAGCACTCAGGAGGCTGAGGCAGGAGGATAGCCATGCGTTTGAGCCCAACGTAGGCTGCATGAGTGAATTCAAGGTCAGCTTGCACTACCTGGCAAGAGCCTGTCTCAAAATAAAACAAAAGAAATCACCAAAAACAAAAGAATGACATGAAACATCTTGGCTGTATTAATGGGAAAGGCAAAATTGCTATTCAGTGAGTTGCGGATGTAAGAAGAACAGAGTTCTTGGGGTGGGAGGCTCAGCTGGACATCTGAAATGCCAAATAGACACCCAAGCAGAGATAGCAGGAAGGCAGCAGAAGTTGGGGGTACTTGTAGAAAAAATTCTACAGTCATATTATTGGAAGTGATCAGCAGATCTGAGATTAGATAAGACCATCGATAGAATGAATGTAGATAAAAAGTATAGGGAAGGATCCCTGGGACATGCGAACAGTCCAGAAGATGAAGAGGAACAAGCAAGGGAGAAATAGATGGAGCAGCCAGAGCTGAAGGAAGAAACCAGGAGAGTATTCAGACCTGGAACAAAGGAAAGAAGTGTGTTGAGGGGCAGAATGAGCAATCAGAGCGAGTGAGATGAGGACTGGGAACAGACCCTTAGGCTTACAATATGTGGGGGTCATCAGTAATTTTTTTCTTTCTGCAGTGTTGGGGGTTAAACCCAGGTCCTCACACATGCTAGGCAGGCACTGATCTCAGCAGTGATCTTGGTAACAGCAATTCAGTTAAAACAATATCCATGAAAGCAAGACTGGTGAGGCTTAAGAGAGGCCAAGAGGTAAGAATGTCCTCACAGCGTTGGAGATGAGATCGCTGAATTGGATATAGAGAAAAAATGTAAGTGAGAAATCTAACAAAAAAAAAGAAACATGATTTGTGCCTAAGCAGTGAAGAGACTGACCTTCCAGGAATTGCACATGTTGCCTTCCATAGCATGTACTCTACCTGCATTTAGAGCATCGATCCAAGTCAGGCCTGGATCTGAAATTAGACCCACTCAGGGGAGTAGGGAAAGACTACCAGAAGTAGGCCTGACAGCAGGTCCCGGATGGATGCTCCAGCTGGTAACAAGACCTCAATAGTCGGTAGCCCATAACATCAGACGACAGGTCAGCAGACTAGCAAAGCTAGTGTTACTGAGTTAGTCACTGGGTGACACAGAAACCAGAAGGGCCAACATTTGGATACGTAAGAAGACAAAACTGCCATTTCAACTCTCCTGCCTCAAGGGTGAGGTGTGAGAGCAACGAAGGCCAGATGAGGCCTCAGCCCTACAGAAACTGAGCTATTAAGTTAGCAAAATAGCACCCAACCCAAGAATCCATTTCAAAAATGGAGGTGTTAGGCAGGAAGTGGATTAATACATTTGAACTAGCATTATGATTGATAATGCCTACTTGGCATAGAGAAAAAGTCTGAAATAGGTCTGGTGAGTCCACTTTCCAAAGGGCCCTAAAATCTAGATCATTAGCCTTGTGCCTCCAACCTGGACTTCGCACGTGGACTTTTTCTGCATTCATGGGCAGTGTGCCATGGGTTAGGAGTTTCATGTGTTCCAGCTGTCTAAGAGGGAATATTGAAAAGCCATTGAATTATAAAAATCTAAAACTTTAGCTTTAGAGGATTTCTAGAGATCACCTCATTTCTAAATTTCATTTCTAAAAAGATTTAGAACTTCATTTCTAAAAAGATCTCATATTGTTCATTGTAGGGTAGGTCATTGGGAGAAGTTTAATGAGCTCAACTAAGTCAGTCTGAAGTGAGCATAAGAAACAGGTTTTCTCCCCATAATTTTACCCTTTTATTAGGAACAACAGCTTTGTACATGTAAAACTATCACTGAACAAAACTGTAAGTATACTCTGCATATACCACTATTATGCTCTGTACTTTACTGTTCTACACTGGCCTGCTGAACACATAAGAGAGAGCAAGGGCTTAGTACAGCAATTTGACAGAGTAAATTTTAGATCTTTAATAGTTTTTAAATCATTTCCTGCATTTGTCCTTGTTTTTAATTTCCTAGAAATTGTGTTGCATTTTTATAATGCATTGGTCCATGATAAGTAAGAAATGTAACAAGAAACAAACTCTTAAGACAAGTGTGGTGGTACATGCCTGTAATTCTAGCACTCAAGAAGTTGAGGTAGCAGGAGAGCCGTGAGTTCAAGGCCAGCCTAGGCTACATAGTGAGTTCAAGGCCAGCATGGACTATATTGCAATACCTTGTTTCAAAAAAAAAAAAAAAAGAGTGAATTCAAAACTGGTCATTCACCATACATAGTTTGAAAGCACCATTACAGACTGTAAGTACATTAAGAATCCTTGGAATATCTTATTGGATATTATTAGGTATGATAGTATAAACAAATTTTCTATGGAAAATGAGATAATATAGTAGCCATTGTTCATTCTCTGCTATTTGGTTCTGAAAGCCCAGTAATGTGTTCATTCTCTTGAATGGTTTTATACTGTTTTGTTTTGCTTGATACTATTGTATATGAAGCTATGCTCAGCTATTTCAAAGAAAGACACACTATGGTAGTTACTGTTAATTAAGGGTTGTCTTGTGGTAAAATGCTGTGTTACTTGCATTGTTCTGATCTGATCTGCTTTGTTATTTCCTCTCTTGTCTTAATCTCTTTAAAATAAAAAAAAATTTTTTTAAAGTACATTAAGAATCCAGAGAAAGAAGAAATCAGTATAACATGTAGTTACTAGGAAAAAGAGAGTGTTGAAATCTGTAATGCTGTTGTTTTTCAAGATAATCTGGAAGGTTGACATAAAAAAGAATGTAAATGCTTCTCAACCCCATTGAAATCATTCTGGAAAATGTGTTTGCTTTCAAATGCACCCTTTTAATTTGTTTGTGGGGTGGGCTGGTGGCTTTCTATTTTAAGGTTGGGGCATTGTACCATCTGAATCCATAAAGGCAGTGACCAGAAGGAATGAAATGATTCAAAGGCACCATAATGCCAGGTAACGATGCCATTTTATTTATTTTCTATTTATTCACAGAATAAATGTCCATGTGTAACAAGTGAATATGGAATACATACACATAGTCATACACACTGTGATTACTTACAGAAAATATTTCAAGCAGATACAAAAAGAAGTATATGAACATCTACACAGGTTGGCTAATAATAAAAGCAAGATTAAAAATCACATAACAAAGCTAATGATGGTATTATGGAGAGTATAGTAAAAGTTCATCAATATTCCATAATTAAATGTCCAGCTACGATTTTGTGAAACTCATATTGGCATTTGTCTTAAATTTAAGACTTTATTTTTGCCTAAAGATAGGAGCCAGGTTTTCCAGCCCCGCTTTAGGCTACGTTGTCAGAGCCCAAACAATAATATCAGTCCAAGAGTAGCCTTTACCTGTAACAGCCAAGGAAAGAAGGCCCAGTAATAATGACTGGGATATGGCCTGAGGATGAAAGAAAGAATACAGTCCATTTTCTCATCACTGATGCCTAAGGAATCCAGGTGATGACTGATAGAATTGTGGCAGCAGCTGAAAAGATAAGAAGTATGAAATATAAATGACCTTTATTTTAAGAATGCGGGGAGAGACCCCCCCCAACCCCTGGGGCGTGGCATCTCCCCAGGGTCTGCGATCTCTGTGGGACACCTGGAGTGGAGGCATACATGTAGCTTTGGTTTGGGGTGGAGCCTGAGGGGCATTAGGGATGCACAGGTAGCCCATTGGTACTCTTTTGGCACCAGAGGTAAATTCCTAGGGGTGGGGGAGATGGAGCTCCTTGGTTTTGCCTCTAAGGCTTTACTGGCTACAGTGTCCTGTCTGGGCCAAAACTCTTTCAATGACCGTTAAGCAAAGTGAGTTGGCAAAAACACAAGCAAGTCTTCACCCCCTCAGCCACTTACATTGACAGACAACTACTGAGACTTATACTAATCATTTCTTGAGTTCTAGTAGGATTGTTTTTAAAAGTTTTTAAAATGTCTTCCTAGTCCTTTGGTTTGTTTGCTTATTTTTGCTTATTTGGTATTGGAAATCAAACTCAGGACCTTGTGCTTGCCGGGCAGGTGCTTGTGTCACTGAACTACACCCCCAGCCTCATTTCTTTGAACATTAACCTATACTCTGCATTACCGACACCCCTGCTAAATGTGCAGGGGTATTTATTAGAAGTAACTTTCTAAAGACTTGGAGTCTCAGTATGAGATCAGGCAAACCCTTTACCTTCACATCTTCCTCTAAAGACTCCTTCCTGCCGGCTTTGTGGGGAATTCCTGTTCCCACCAAACAAATTTCAGATAAACTATGAGCACAGGGAGAGCAGAGGTATTTATCCCAGGGAAGGCAATAAAATGGCATTTCTAATGGCTTTCATCTTTCTTTCATTCTATCGGTTATGTACATATTATTTTATTTTTAGATCAGAACTAGAAATGTATGCGATTTACCAGCAAAGGAGAATGGAAAAAGTGAATCCCAAGGGACTAGCTGCCCTAGGGGTACCATTTCTTTATGGTTCCGGCATCCCTTCTGGCCCAGTGGCTTTCCACGGCAGGAGCATGCTCCCTGCCAGCGACCTGCACTTTCACAGAAGCGCCCTCAGGCACCTTCCGGAAAACCCCATCCTCATGGCAACCAGACCTCACCTTCTAGAGAACTGGAGACAGAAATACCGGTCCAGGAGAGGCACCGGGAGTCAAAAACCTCTGGACAGTGACACTGAGAGTTCCAAAAGTCAAGCAGAGGAAAAAGTCCTCGGCCAGATGCCTGCAGTTCCCTATGAAGAGGATGAGTACGCGAAAGGTCCAGAGATTGAGATATGCCACAGTCAGAAGTCAAGCGAAACCAGTGAAAAGACAACACCACCTCTCACCAACCCCTGTGCAGCACTCCAGCCCACCCCTAAAAAACCCTGGGGTGTTCACTCCGCGCCCCTGGGAAAGGCCTGGGACTGTGGGAAGGAGGAGGCTGCAGAGCAGGCGTCTGAAGAGGGCGGTGAGAAGAGCAGGGTTTGCTCTTCGGTTCCTCCGCTGGGTCTGCCTGGTGAGTGTCTGGGGCCAGGGGCAAAGCCCCAACTCACCACAGGCTGCAAGTCCCTGCCTTGTTAGATAGAAGGCTATGAGTCAAACCTTGGTTTATCTTGCTTTATCTTAATCCATTTAGAATGAATTCTTCTTAAAATCATTTTATTACATCAATTCTAATAAGCTACGCTAGGGACACTAGTCTGTATTTTTGTTAAATAGAGAACTTTTAGCAAAGGCTAAACAAAGGTAAGTATAGGCAAGTGTGAGAAATATCTACCAGAATTTTAAATTCTTTTTTTAACTAATAAGGAAATTTATTTGTAATAAAAACTTCCAACCAAGAAAAGGAACTGACATGAATAAATTAAATTCTTAATTAAATTTACTGTTAATTTTTCAATACAAACAAAGGAGCTTTTGAAGTATGAATTCTGTCTCCCTTTATAGGTATAGAAAACAATAGCAAATAAAACAGAGGCTTTACCTTTCAGTGTCTGTTACTATTATGACACTATCTAATCTATTTTTTTACTTTAAAAATAGCAAAATCCAACAAAGCAAACAGACCAAAGCCAATCAAAACAAAGTAGCAAAATTGGTACAGAACTTCAAAGCAGGATACTAAGAAAACAACAATAGCTACTATATCTTGTTACCTTCACAACAGTTGTCCATTCCATCAGGTATAGCAAAATAAACCAAAAACAAAACAGAATAAAACCAATCAAAACAGAATATTGAATAAAACAAAACAACCAGAACAAAGCAAAACAGTGAAAATAACATTGAATTTCAAAGATAAGACAGAAGGAAATCCCCCGTATTTGCTATATTGCATACAGTCATCTTCCCAAGAGATGCTCAGACCACTGGCCCCAGGCCTGCAAAATCAACCAAACAACACAAGCATTCAGTTGCTTTATGCATCTTAGTTGCTATCAACTCAGCCAGTCCTCCAAACCAGCAAGTTGCTTGGGGCAGGGGTGTTGATTCTCAGCTCCCTGATTTTTCTTTTCCTGGAAGCTGCGGACTTTGCATGGCTTACCAGAAAGGCTGGCTGGTTGGCTTCTTGTTGGAGCCTCCTAGTCCCAGCATCCACACTAGTCTAAAAGCATTGTCTTACCACTGCCCAACAATACCACTGAATATTCTCCTAGGATTAAAAAAAAAAAAAAACTGGTAGCTGGGCATGGTAGTGTACAATTGTGATCCCAGCACTCAGGAGACTAAGGAAGCAGGATCCCATGAGTTCATGCACGAGTTAGCTAAATTCTTACCTAAAGAGCACCATCAGACCCAGAACATCACAGAATAGCATTATGAGATTCACAGGGCCTTTCTCTTGAAATCTGGGAAAAGATGCATCAAATCTGGAATTCTTCCTTTCTTACAATGATGCTGTCACTGAGGTTCCTTCCAGAGGAGGAAAAGAAAACACAGCAGCTAATTTTTTTTTCTTTTTTTTTTTTTTTTTTTTTTTGTCTTTTTTGAGACAAAGTCTTGCCATGTAACTCAGCCTGGCCTTGAACTCATTATGTAGCCCAGGCTGGCCTCAAACTTGCAGTGATCCTCCTTCCTCAGACTTGTAGGTGGTGGGATTATAGGCATGCGCTATCATGTCCAACTAAACTTTTAGGAAAAATCTCTCCATGACTCTTAAGTACCTTCTGGGAAGATTATAAATTCTCATGCATGAAAGGACACTTTGTGATGGCAGAACTTGAGGAACTTTATATAATCATATGTAAACCTGTGCTCTAAGCACTCCCTTTCTCTGGAAATTTTATACCACAGAGTAATTGCCTTTCTGTTTTAAAGGAACACATGTCCTTTTTCTACCTGGGGAAAACCCTCCTTTGGATGAAGATATTCAGAAATGGACCGTAGATGACGTTCACAACTTCATCAAAAGCCTCCCAGGCTGTTCAGACTGTGCCCAGGTGAGCTAATATTTAAATATTTTCAGAAAATTTAGGAAGTTTAAAATAGATTTCCTGCATAATAGGTTTTTTCAGACTTGTGCTTTATCCCAGAGAAAATTCTTGCTAATCCCCCCTTCATATCATTATCTCCCTGGACCTTTTGCGTATTCATCCTCTTCATAGGGAACTGCAGGCATCTGGCTGAGGACTTTTTTCTCTGCTTGACTTTTGGAACTCTCAGTGTCACTGTCCAGAGGTTTCTGACTCCTGGTGCCTCTCCTGGATCGATATTTCTGTCCCCAGTTCTCTAGAAAGTGAGGTCTGGTTGCCATGAGGATGGGGTTTTCGGGAAGGTGCCTGAGGGCGCTTCTGTGACCCAAGCCTCTGTTGAGGGACAAAGAGGGCCTGGCTGCCCCCCTGAAATCAAAGGAGCAGGAAAGTCACTGTTAAGCTTTGGCTTGTCTCATTGAGACTCCTGAAAAATGGGAATTATTCCAAAATTAGAAGGTTTAGCATCAAAAAGTTAAATGAATGAGAAATGGTTGCTGTATTCCTTAATCATACATGCAACAAACATATTTGGAGCACTTTGGTATCAAAGTTGTTGGATATTCACCCTAAATAACAGAAATATTATACGCCTTCTAAAGATGACAATGAGGGAAGGAACTGAAAAGAAAGAAATTAGGAAATTTCATGTCATTTTACTTTAATTTTTGCTGTGCTAGTGACTGAACCCAGGGTCTTACTCATACTTGTAAGTGTTCTACCACTGAGTGGCATCTCCAGCTCCTTAACTATTTTTAAATTCTATATTTGTGCTGCAAAAATACATAAAAATGAACATACACATCATTCAATCTGGTACATAAATATTTCTGAAAATTAAATATATATAAAAAAAGAGATCTGTCAAGACAGATGGAAAGGAAACCAGCCTCAATTGTATGGAAAGGTTGGTAACAAAAACCATACATTATAGTTTTTGAAGTTTGTATCAGTGCTACATTTTTACAGAAGTCATTTTTTGAGTGATTTAATAACAATTTTAAGCAACAAACTGCCTATGATAGCTCAGACCCCAGAATAAAACCCAAGGAAGCAAGAAATTAAAATTTGGGGAGCAAAGGTTTTATTTTAGGCCAGGCCTGGTGACACAGCCTCCAGTAGCCAATTTGGAGACTTCGTACCCCAGAGACTGAAGAAGGGGATTTTAAGAGCAGGAGAGGGGGGAAAAAACAAAAAACCCGCAGAGCTGGTAAGCTGTTGACTCAAGTCTAGAAACTGTAAAGCTGTCCACTTAGTTCTGATAACATCGGGAGCCTTTGTTGTCTTTCAAGTTACTCCCATTCTGCAGATAAGCATTATCTCAGAATAGCACATCTGCAATAACATTTGGAGAAGAAAGTAGAAAGTTAATTATTTTGGGACAGCTTGTTAGCAATAACATGTGGAAGGGGGGAGGCAGTTAATTATCTCTGGACAGCTCGTTGGCACTAACATGTGAGAAGGGGTCGAAAGTTACAAGAAGCTGAAACTTAAGTTTTTACAAGGATTTGAAACTTAACTCTTTCAGTGCTTACAGAACAAGAGGAGGCGCATTGGTTAGGGTTAAGCCACAACATTCTTCCTGTAATTTCTTTGAAGTTAAGCATTTCTTAAGAACAGTGTAATTAGCACATTTTATAACAGGCACATTTTATGACAGACCACCACTGGATAGGGAAGGGGGGGTACCAGAAACTGAAACCTAAGGCCTTTATGGCTTTTCAGGAAATTGAAACTTACCTAGATAGATAGGGAGGGGGAAGGCGGAAGGGGATGCAGTACGGCGCATTACAGAACAGAAATACGGCGAGATTACTTTTTTGGTGGGGGGGAGAACAAGGTCAGGTAAGGGTTGTGCTAACAACCCTTGCATACAAGCAAGTTACCCTTTAAACAAGTTTAAATTAGGAAAACATCCTGGTTTCCTTAGCAGAGAATAGAGAAGTCAAACAGTAATTAACAACCCCTGTTAGTTATTTTAGCACCACATCTGTTATTTGTAGAGGGCAACAATGGTTAATATATCAACTAGGTAAGATTTTACAATTCTTTACAGAGGAGAGCATTGATTAACATATCAATTAGGTCACCCAGAGGGAGAAGGAAAACATATATACAGTATGGCCGCGTTACAGGTAATTTGCTATAATACAAATATAATGAAGCTATTTTTCTTAGAATACAACATTGCCTACTAAATCTGGCATCATTATCTTTGGTTTACATTTGAAAGGAAAAGAAAGAAAAAGAAAGCAAGGAAAGGACTTTGTGGTTTAATTGGGGGATTCTTCGGTTTGGTTTGATTTTGGGGTTTTTGTTTTGCTTTTTCTTTTTTTGTTTTTTTGAGACAGAGTCTGTATTCCAGGCTGGCCTTGGACTCACAGTGAACCTCTTGCCTCAGCCTCCTGGATACTGGGATTCAGCTGTACACTACCATGACAAGTTTAATTGTATTATTATTAACTGGTGCTAGAGTTGATATTTTTCAGATCTGAGTTTTGTGAAATGTTTTCCTACAATACAATACAGCACTATCAATTTTTCTTATTGTTTTCTGTCACTTCTTTTTTATAATTTTATTTATGGGACATCCAAAAAGCCATATGAAGGAGTAACTAACAGTATGGTTTCTGAAGCCAGAAAATACAAATTCAAATCATGACTTTTTCACTTTCTAGATATGTGACCTAAAACAAATTAATTCTCTTTGCTGTACCTCTTTATTATCACCTAAAAATGAAGATAATAATAACATTGTAAGGGGTTGTAAGCATTAAAGAGACCCTGGTTGCTGGATGTGGTGATTCACACCTGTAATCCCAGTACTTAGGAGGCTGAGGCAGGAGAATCACCACCCATTTGAGACCAGTCAGGACTACATAATAAGTTCAAGACCAGCCTGAACTGCATAGTGAGACCCTGTCTCAATAAAACCAAAAGAGAGATGGAGGGAGGGAGGGAGAAAGGAAGAGAGAGAAACAGAGAGAGAACCTTATACTTTTTAAGTACTTAATAAATTTTGATCTGATCATTTGCATAATTCAATAAACTTTTTGCTTATGCTCTCCTGCTGAATGGGTATAGCCTTATGTTTTACTGTTAATTGCTAGTCATGGATAGGTCCCTTTTTAAATGTATTTATACTACTGGCCAAAGGGTCACACCAACCACAGGTAAAATGAAGTTGTTAAATTCTGATAACAGAAACAAACAACTCTTTGTGTCATAAGCATGTGACTACTGACTTTGGTGGACTAAATTTATTGGAACATTAATTACTATTAATCAGTGACCATCATTATAAAAGTACAGTTTATAGTAAATAGTCTTGCAATCATGTTAGGTCTATTTTACACTTTAGAATCATTTTAGTCAGCTTTACCATTGCTGGAACAAAATACCTGACAGCTGCAGCTTGAAGGAGAAGATGTATGATTTGGCTCCCAGTTCCAGAGGGCTCACTTGACTGGTGGCTCCACGGCAGAGATGTCATGGCAGAGGGGCATGGTGAAGGAGAGCTGCTCAGTTCATGGTGGCTGGGAAGCAGAGGGGTTGGAAAGAGCCAGAAGAAGAACCCAGAGGCCAGATAGAGTCCCCAGAGGCACACCCTGGTGACCCACTTCTTCTATAAGGCCCCACCTCCTAACAGCCTATTCAAACATGACTGGATCAGTGTCCTCGGAATCAAATCACCTCTCCAGGAGTTTCTTAATCCAGTTAACTTGACAATGAGGATTAGCAGCACAGAATCCCAAATGTCCCTTTGTAAGTGATGCCCAAAAGGCTCATAAACACTGCAAACCTCCCCAGCCTCCGCTAACTCACTAGCTGTCATCGTCAAGATGTCAGTAACTCATAGAAATGATAACAGTTATTTCTAGATGTTTCTCAAATGTGCTTAGGAGAAGCACATCTTAAAGTCTTCTCTCTCCAAGCTGCTACAGACGACATCAGCTGGGTGCAACAGCCCTGCAGCAGCACTGTCTGCACACAGCTCTCACAAGGACCCTGGCGGGAACTGTCCCATCAGCTCACCTTCACAGCCACTCCCTTTACTAAGTTGGTCCTTGTCCCTAGGACTCATAGGAACTGCATCCACTGCCCTCCATTCTTTTCTTCCTCCCTGCCACTGCCTCAGGTGCTGTTCAGAGATGTGCAGCACCTGTGCTTCCTGCAGATAAAACAAGGAATTCAAAGAAAAAACAAATTCAAAAAAGACCACAACTAGAACCCCAAGCTCCTACACCACAATTGAACCCTTTTAAAGAGACATAGTGAGAAGATTGGTGGCTCAGCTACTTAGGGACATATAGAGCCCTGAAGCATCTCATTTACTCTAATGACTGTCCACTTCAGAGAATTTGGCATATAAAATGTTCTGCCTCTAAAAATAACTGAACTTACTAAAATATGTGCACTTTTCTATCATGTGCACATCCCAAAGTGATCTGATGAAAATGAAGCTGGCACATCTCAGAGACAAGAATGTGTTCGGTGCCCTGGTTCTAGTCCCCTGTACACTCAGCACGGCTAGGGCGCAGGCCTGCACACAGTCCAGTCCTGGCTGCCAACCTCCTGGAAATTTACCGATGGGTTTCTCCTTCATTGGAAGCTTACACGCGTCCTTTACTGCTCACTGGAATCCCTGCAAAGGAAAGATAAACGAGCTGAGATTTTACCGCCAGTATAATTTGCTACTTTCATCAGCACTTCTTTTTCTGGGTAGTAGTTGGATATAGCAGGAAACATGCTGGATCAGAATCATGAAGGATGGCTCATTTTACAAGTTGTCTTACTGTGTGTCTTGCATAACTCAGCAGTTTCTATCCTGGCTCTCTCACTTATAAAAGCTGATAAGAATAATACCTGCTCTTCATGAGGCATTGTCATAGTCAGGGGTCATGCGAAGAACAATTAGAATCAGGACATGGAGTTTATAACATTATATTATAATGGTCACCAAGAGCTAA